CGTTTAAAGAAAAGATGAGATTCCTTTAAATAAGAGATGACAGTTGTTAAAGAATCCCCTAAAGGAGAGAAGAAAGCAGTTCAAAAAAGATTGAAACAGGTCAAATTAAGTAAAAAAGAAATTACCTGCATAATAGAAGACAAATGTGAGGCTATGGAAGGCAGAATAGACGCTGTGGAAAATAAAGTTGGACACACTGAAGAAAGAATTTCTTCTGTGAAAGAGCAAATTGAAGAGAGAGTTTCCGATATGAAGCAATGAATCAAAGGAAGAGTTTCAAAGGAAGAGTTTAACAACAAATCAAACAACAAATTGAAGAAAGAGTTTCTGCCATCAAAGGACATATCGAACAACAACTTTAAGATGGAACTTCTTCTGTCGCCGCCAAAGAAGTTGACGCATTAAAGAAAGGCATAACGCCAGCAAGAACCAATTCTGTTGGCTTTAAATTTTTGACAATGCCTGCTCGTTCCTCTCTGAAGTTATCCACATATGATAGGAAGACCCCTTGGCAAGTATATAAGACAGAATTCTCTATAGTTGCGGAAGCGAATGGATGGGATAACCAAGCTAAGGTCTGCCATCTCGCCGCTTCTCTGAGAGCAGACGCAGCGGATATCATTCATACTCTTCCCGAAAACAAAAGGCTAGATTTCGAAGCTCTGTCCGGCGTGTTGGACCTGCACTTTGGAGAGAAGTGTTTGAAAGACTACAGCAGACCTTCAGTTAAAATCCCGTCAACAGAAGCCCGCGGAAACTCTCCAGGAACTTGCCACGGATGTTGAAAGGCTGTCTCATCTCGCTTTTTCCGAGTGCTCGACAGAAAAAGCTGTACAAACAGCGGATGTCAAAGACTTAAAAAGCGCTCTTGTGTACCCCATGGAATTTGAAGCAGCCCAGCAAGCAACTAGTAAAAACCACCGACCAATCAGAGCTGCTCAAGTTCAAATAGCCAGTGGATCAAATGGCTGCTAGCCTAGAGGATTTAACAAGTCAATGCTTTGATACGGAATAGGATTGAAAAGAAACTGACCCGAAAGTGCTGGAAATGTAGCAGTGAAGGCCATGTTCGATGGAACTGCAGAACACCCCAGAGCATGGAACCTAAGACAGACCATTAAACTATGGCCATAGTACGTAGTGTATATAATGTAAATAGTATAGCGCCATGGTCCTTTTTGTTTCTAAATTTGTAAATTTGTGCACTCATTTATTGATTAAGTATTTGATTTGTTTTAAGTTACTTATTACAATTATTGTTTATGTTGTTTGTTATTGTATTGTAATGTTTATTACTGCACTGATAATTTAGTTGTAAGTATGGTTTCTTGCCCAGGGATAATACTGCCCGGGACGTGCAGTCCTTGGGAAGGGGGCATGTTACGAATTTTGTATTTAGATAGCTAATTTTAGTAGAATTATAATTAAGATTGTTTTATTTCCCTGTGCAATGCAGCGCGAGACAAATTTTAAGAGAAAGCTATGCCGGAAAAGTAAAAATACAGGAGCACGCGCCTTTAACATTGAATAAATGGGTATTTCGGTAATTTATATTGAAATTGAATAAATGGAATTGACCACTATGTTAGCTTTAACCGTAATTCCATCCTTTTATTGCTTTCCAGAAATCTCGGGAAGCAGAAATTACTAGGAAGATCTCGCGTGCCGATTGAAAGTTCTAAAATGCCAGAGAGAGAATATCTCAGTTCAGTTGTTTAGTTAGTTGCTTAGTTATTGTTATTGCAATTTGTTTAGTTTCATGTGAGCTGAGATATAGCTGAATTAGCTTTCTGTTTGTTAACGCTTTGCACTGCGTTGTATTTTAGCGTTTTCAGTAGTTTGAAGTATAACTACTGATTATATTACGTGATATTGTGAACACTTGTACGAATATCTCTGAGGAAAATTCCAGCGTTCTGTTATATTACTTTTGATAAGAATAATTTTATTAACCTTTTATCGGACTTGCGCATTCAATCTGTTATGAACCCGTACGCACCCAACATTATTTTTAACGTTTAAAAATTACGACAACAGTTTTAAAGAAGTTTATTAACTTAACTGAAATAACGCCTTAAACTCGGGAATATGTGCTTTGAGCACGCAGGATAAACAAATGACCTCCTAGGCATCAAAGGCTCTTTAAACCATTGGTAATAATCAAATAATAAGTAAACATTTAATTTATTACTAAAACCAAGCTTTTACTTTTTAAAAAAAAACGTTTTCTGTAGCATTTCAAAATTGGAAGTCAGTAAAAGAAAAGTTTGAATAAGCGTTTGAAAGAAAGTTGAAATAAAAGTTTTTTTTAGGTCGAAAATGGCAATTTGCCCTGAAGGACTATTATTTTCATTTCGGCATTTTGTGTTGGTTCTCTCTAAATGACCGATTCACTTTTCGCCCTGTATTATAGTTAAAGGAATTAAATAATGAAAAATCTGCATAAATGTATGTATGCTTCTCGCATTGTGATAAAACAACGGTACCTAGAGCCATCCAATTCTGAATAACGTACGTTTCCACCCGAATATGGGAATCTGCAAGCCCAAATTTGGAATTTGTTTTATTATCGATTTAATATTTTCTAAAACTTTAACGAATTTTTGATTAACAAACTCAATGGTTTAAAGGCGAGCAATGGCAACACTCTAAGGTTAAAAAAAAAAAAAAAAAAAAAAAAAAAAAAAAAAAATTATCTCCAGCGCGCGAGACTGTGTATCGGAAGTTCTAAAGATATGCTCATTTTAAAATTTTTTCACGATATTGCTGTTGAACTGAATTTTATGGTTTAAGTGCGAATAACATGATATTTAATAAATAAAGGTAACACTCAAAACGTTTAAAAAACACCCTTTTTGGACGTAATTTCAAATCGTAATTTTAAATTTATTAATATTTAAAAAATGGTTCTGTTGACACTGTTGGAAACGAGAGCAAAAATTTTCCTCCTTTATTTACTCGGTATTTTTAGATACATATTCCGAAACAGGCATCTTCTTCCGAAATGTTCCGTTTCTATCATTCATGATATCATTTTTCAATAAATCTATCCATTTTTAAGTGAAGATTCTGTTGATACAGTTGGAAACGAGAACAGAAGAGCAAAATTTTTATTCTATGTTTAGTCGTTGTTTTTCGATACACATTCTGAAACAGACATCTTCCACCAAAATGCTCAGTTTCTATCGTTCATGATATACTTTTGAGTATTACATATTTTTCCCATCACTTTCAACAAACATCTCAAAAATTCTCCTATACTAGTCAATTTCACCACCTTCATTTTGCTTACATGAGTTACCATATCAACACAGCTAGATTACCTCCTCTGGAAATAAAATGTTTGTATGAAACATGTAGGTGAAGTATCAGTGCCCGTAAGTTTTCTTTTACACTGAAGTCATATTGACAAAAGACAAAGTATATTTCAAAATAATCATATTACTTAAAACCAAGACTTAATTTCTAAAATTAGAAGTGCAGGAATCCCATGCAAGACTATCAGTAAAGAGGAAAAAGAATAAATAAATAAATTAAAATGACTAATATAATGAAATCGTAAATGATTGAAAAAATGAAATAATTAATTATTAAAATAATTAATGATTCGAATAATTAAATTATTAAAATTTCATAAAGTGTGAAGAAATAAATAAATATTTAATAATTAAATAAACAGTAAATAACAAAATAAAATACTGGATCTTGACTTTCTTGGGGTTCCAGCTGAAATTAAAATTTAACACAAAATCTAAGAACTAGCTCAAACAGTCGCCGGTTGAATTTAAGCTATGAATATGTTGGGGGATGATAGAAATAATTTTGAACACACCAATGAACAACTTTAAAATGGTTAAAACGTCACTAATGAGACTAGAGAGAATGCTATATACAGTAACAGAATTTTGAGAAAATTTAAGGATACTGTATAGGTATCAAAACAAAAAGAGAAGATTCAAACAATTTTTTCGCCAGGATCTCCTGTCAATCTAATTCTAGCTGTCAAGTAGAATGAGAAAGGGGAGCAAATTTTCCCCGAATCGGAGCTAACAAGTGAGAATTTTCATCTCCCGGTCTTTGGTTACATGGTTCCCAAAAGTCTGGATTTGCTCTTTTTTCCCCCCTGGAAGACACTAGTGTTGGAAGGAAGAATTTACCTACTGTTATACAGTCATTGTACTTTCTGGAGAATAAGCTTCTGACATGGTGGGTGGGGGCTTTTCTTCTTTTTTTTTTTTAGAAATCTCGACCTCCGTTCAGGAGTTTGTTCCTCAAGAAAACAGAAGCATGCATTCAGAAGGTAGAATCGATTTTTAATATAATTTTATTACTAAAAATAAAATTTCTCCTGAAATTGTTGTTCAGTTAGATAAAAAAAGCACCAGAGCTTTCTTATTTAGGGTCCCGGTGGGCTCCGGCTAGAATTATGATTTATCCCCAAAACTAAGAAATACTGGAGACGGGCTCAGGCGCAATTTAAGCTCTACTTAGAATTTGTCATTCTATCTCGCCCGACGTGAACTTAACTCATGTATATAAGATATTTTTTAAATATTTATTAAGTATTTATATATAACGTAACATTTTCTAGAATTGCTTACTGTAAGAAAAAACAAAAGCATGTCATTCCATTTATTCTGCAATTTTTTGATAAACACTTGGTATAGAAAAGTATATTTTTAAGAGGAAAAAAAAATTAAATAATATATAATAATACATATATTTTTATCCAGAAATAATGTAACTATTCAACAATATAATTAATATTAATTAACTAAAGTGAACCATTTAACTAAACAAATAAATATGCAAACTGATGCCTTTTCTCCTGTCTTTTCATTAATGGATAATGTAAACTTATTTTATTTATATCAGTTTGTAAGAATATTTCCGTATTACCCTTTTGATCTCATATGGAGTTATCTCGAGAAGAAAAATATAGTTTCCTTTGAATAACTTCAAGTCAATGTTTCATAGATTACTTTAGGGTGTTCCCTAGGTTTTTTTTTTTTTTTTTTTTTCCTTACTGGGAAAATATTTCTTCTCCTACATACACATTTTTCCTTTCCTTGACGCCATCCTATGTATAGGCATTCATCCTCTGCATAATAATTTATCTATAGTGTAGGTATTTATTTATCTTCTGCATAATGAATGATTTTCTGCATAAGCATTTATTTCTCCCTCATATATTTGTCACTAACTGACTGAAAATGTTCGTATGCACTTGAGTGTATTAACATTCAGATATGTTCTGCAGATTTTTCAAGTTGCGCTTTCTGTCTTCAGTAGAAATGCCTTTGGACTTGTTGAACAAGACCTGCAATATAAACAACATTCTCAATATTTAAGAACAAAGTTCACGTCAAGTAGAAGCAGTTAAAAATTAATAAGCAAACGATAAAAGAATGAAAAGGTAAACATTTGTATTTCTTATTAGTGTTATTCACCTATATCTGCCATTAAAAGAAATGTTGTTAGATTTTAATTAAGGTAAAGTACTCGAAAGCTCTCTGCCAAGACAGAGATGACTACGTTTAGCACTTACTAAGGGAAGTGGTTCGTATTGATGTAATACATGGGGAAAACCAAGAAAACATTCCTGCATCAGAATAGAGGTACCACTACCAGTATTCAGAGACTTATTGCCTCGGCCGCTGGATGGGAGGGGGGGATTTAAAGGAAATGGTGTGCATAATTTGATTAAACTAAATCATTTAAACTATTGTTGCAGTGTCAGTAATCTTCAATTACATTTTTAACGTATTTTTATAGTTAAGGTATGCTGTATAATGCTGTTTTATGTGTTGTATAATGTCACAAAAATTAGCACTTATCTTAAATACAAATAAAACGATATTAAAAACAAGGTTCTAAAGCAATTAAAGTGAAATGTGATGTGAAAGAAAATGTCTTGTGATACAAATATATTTTTATTATAATTCACATAAAATACTTTATTACTTAGAGAAAAGTATTAAAGTATTAATAATAAATTTTAAACAATTAAGTAAGCGCAATGCTATTGAAGTTTTAAAATGAATTCTATCTTTTGAAAGAACATTTCATCGATTAAATTATCACGCGTTGTTGAATAACAGCATCAAATATCTCCTAAGTATATGGTCATCAATAACAAGAGAAATGCTTGTTAAAGAATCAGTAAAGTTAACGGGCAACCACAAAATAATAATAATAATAAAAAGAAATATATGTCTAAGAACCTGAGAAATATACGTACACAAACGTCTTTTTGTTCATGATACGTATAATCAATCATTTCAAATGACGCCTTTTAAAATCTCAGAGAGTAAAGGCAATGAGAATAAGGGTTTTAATATTCGCAGTTTCCTCTAAGCTTACAGCTACTATCGTTAAGTACAATATAAATGATTCTGATAAATACCTCCGTCAGAAATGCTGCACATTGGATTAAATTGTGATATGAAATGTATCATGACGGCGTAGTAGCGGTGTCAAACGATTTTCCACTTACAAATCGCTTAGAGAAGGGAGCAGTTGATGGGCGCGTGTGCAGGACATTGCGATCCATTAAAAGGAATCTGATTTATCAGGTGGTGCGCGCTGACGTCGCAATTAGGCAGTTTAACACTGGCAAGAATCACCTAAAAAGATAATATTTATTATGTGCATGTGACATTCCGTTCCCATCTCATGCATCGCGTATTTTTCTTAACCTTGGCGCTATCTGTCATTAAGAACCAGACCAGAAGCTGGCGAAAGACCCGGTACCTTGAGGGACAAAGTCAAGGGCAGGATGTTTTTGCTAAACTTTTTGCCTTCATGAATATGCGGCGGAGTTTCAACCAATAATTAGACCCCTCAAAACGTCTGCTTTTCCAACAGTCGCCAGTTTCCCTGGCTCCCTTTCAGTGGCCTCTTTCTCGACTAATTCTACTGGCCAAACGAGAAGAAAACCTTTGAAAAAAAAAATGTAAAGGAATAAAAAAACTTGTTCAATAATTATATTACTTTTGCTTACATGTCCTACTTAAATCATGAAACACATAATATTTTCCGCGTGCGAAGTACGATCGAATCCATCTTTCTAGGGTTTGTGTAAATCAAACCCTAGAAAATGCAATCGAAACTACAATTGCGTAATAGTCGAGGTAAGATCTAAAAGAAAAAAAAAAAGAGGAGGGGAAGGGAAAGGAAAGAAAACTATTCGAAAACTTAAAACTGCATTTACACACCCCCTCCCGCCTAAAATAAACCATTGTTCTTTTTGATCGATTAAGAAGTAGATAGTTGACGATTTAAAAAGTCTGAACAAAATTTTAATATTTGTGTTTTTTGAAGTCCTTCAGGGGAAGCTGATTATTAACTAAACAAAGAACTTGATTCTGTGGTTTAAAGTCTATAAGTTGAATAAGAGAAAATGTAATCTTATAACGTTCTAGACTCTCCTTGGATTATTTGTATCTATCTTGCATTTAATTATGCATTTCATTTTGCATTTTCAGTTCCAGTCAGAAGGAAGAAAATATCTAGTGAAATGTTAGTATCTAGAAAAATTTCACTCAATGAGAAGAAAACATCTATTGAATAAGCCTTTTTTAAAATGTAATGTTAATAGTACATTATAGTAATTTTGATTATTTATTATTTTCACGCATGCTGATCATTGTTAGTTAAGATAATTACATATATATTAATAACATGTAGCATTAAAATGATTGAGAAAACTATTAATAGTCATGGCTAACATATTATAATCATACTCGTAACTACTAATAGCCATAGCTGACATAGTTAAATGTAAATTGTTTTAGCGCTCTATATTGAAGATAAATTTCATATGAAAGCACAAACAGGGGTTCCTAATATCATTTATTTGCGTATATCTCGCAGTCTGTCTCCATAGTGGCACTTTCATACTATCAAAACGTAATTAATAGTAATTTATTGCATCACTTATCATTAATTACACAAATATCTTACTTAAAAACTAAAAGCATTGTGTAATGATTATTTCTAATATTTTTAAATCTTATTTTAAAATTGTGCATTGTATCTGCAAACAATTAGATCTTTGAGGGCTAATTGTTTGAATTACAAAGTGAAGAAAGAATACGGAGAACAAAATGTGTGTATAAGGATATTTATAGTGAAAAATAAAAAGGTAAGATTTCTTTACTAAATATCACAAATTGCGTAAAAAAAACTAATTTACCAACGTTACTTTAATTCGTTCACAAATGAAAAGCTTTGACATGCTTCCAAAGAATAGGTACAAAACAAACAATAAATATTTAAAGCACAACACATGTTTAGGGAGACTGATTGAGCTTATTTTGGGATGACTTGTTCTTATGATGTTACATGCAATTTTGAACCTGGAATTGAATTCACCTTACCATAGAATTTAATTTTTTATGAAGAATAATAAAACCTGATGTTATGAAGAAAACGTTATCACACTGTGATATTTCATTAAACAGGCAGAAACTTCATTCCTCTCATTAAGACACTGGTATATTTTATTTCTAAATTTTGTAAAAGAGAAAAAGAATTCAAGACGCTTTTGAATAATACTTTCCCACACATTACACGCTATTGCAAAGCTCATGCTTAATTTTTTCAACATGGAGTTTTTTGCTTTAAATTTGTATAGAAAATTGAAGACAGTGTCTTTTTGTGCAGCTAATGATTTTTTTTTTCGTGTTCACAAATGGCCTGGTTCATATTTCTGGTATAAGCATGCCTAGAGGTAGAAAATGATTGCTTTTAAAATATAACGATTACTTCTCCAACCAAGACCAGAACTAAATTTGATTCAGTTCTCTAAGACTCTAATTAGTAGTTAGAAACATTAGAAACAGCGAGCATTAGAAAGCTTGTTATGGCGAATTAAGAGCAATAACAGCTATAAATTAAAACAAAGAGAGATAGTATATAATTACTAATGCTAGAAGCATAATGCTTTCTATACATGTTTAGAATATGCAGCTCAATATGATGTAAGTAAGTGTAAATTAGCTTAGGTACATTATATTCCAACAATAAATTTTAGCGCTAGAAAATAAATATATATAGTACTGAGAAACCTCAGTAATTTTTAGAATAAATTAATGTTATTAATTATTCTTTTAATTTAGTTTGATTGTTTACAGCCAAAAATTCTTTTGATACTTATTTAAATTTTAATAATCGTAATTTCTTTCTGCAAAATTAATTTCTGAGCCTTACTTGCTTCAACCTTGTCCTGGTTTTGTATACATACCTTCACAAAACACTTCTACAGATACATAAATTTGAATAAGCACGAAATGTTCATTTTTGAAGAAATTAATTATGACCTTTATTACTATATTTTTAGCCATATTTATCTACCCTACAACAGTCAGAAAATAACGTAAATTATATCTTCTCAAATAGTGCATCAATGTTAGTTTAAGGTAAAATGTTAGTTTAAGGCATTAAGTTTTGACACTTTATGAAACAAAAATTCTTCGCAAATCAGTTTCAGTCCTGTTATTTCGTTTTGTTAGATTTTATAATACAACAGAAACAAATAAATAAAAGCTAGCAGGACATTAAACAAGGTTTAGAATTAAAAAGTCTTCACTAATCCAAATACATGTTTAAGGCGTAGATTAAATGTACAACTTAAACTCTTGAGCTTAGAAAGCGAACATATAGCATTATTTTGATTAATCTGTAGTCACAGGGATAAAACTGTTAATTAGAAAATAAAATTAATTACCCTCTGAGTAACATTTTCTTAAAACTTTTTTCCTGCCATGCAATTTAACATAGTTGAATCATGTAGCATTTCTGATAAGAATTTAAATATATAATGGGAATTTTATATCACGCAAGGATACTTTATGAAACGCAGTTAAATTTTATGCTATTATACAAAAATTTACATGTACGTCAATGAGTAATTCGTCTAGAAGAATATATTACACTTCCTGGTGTACTTGGCTTGAGGGAACGTCTTTCATGGTCTCTCAGCAGAAGCGAATCGCAGTATTAGACTCCAGTGGCTCTTATAAATGCTCATTTTTATCAGAAATTTCCTGGGAAAACGTACTGATCATGCTTTTTGCTTACAGCTTTTATTATAGCCGGAAAAAGTATACAGAATGCTAAAATGAGCAGTTTTTAAACATACTGCAATCTTATGGTTTCTCTTGATTTCAGGAAGTCCATCCATTATCTTTTGGAGCTATTTACCATCCTAGAAATTTTGCAAAGACTGCTATGCAGTTTTTTGAGCTGCTGATAGGATTTCTAATCCAGAAATAATTTACTGATTTGTGATTCCACAAAAATACTTTCATTGATTTT